TTATCCTAAGGACATGTTATATTTTGTTCTAGATTTACCCGTTTAGGGTTCTGAGCTAGGGAGGTGTGGTTGGAATCCACAGCTCATTAACTTTTTTTTGCCTCATTCCTTTGAATGCTTTGCCTTTGGATCATCATCATGTCACATACTTTGTAGCATGCTTAGGAAGGCAGCACAGGCTATTAAAGTTTTCCCTCGGACAGAAAAGTTTGGGGCTGATACTTGGACTAAGTTGATATTTGTATACATCCTCTTATTGTTATTTTCATGTTTTTGCCATTCTTTTAGTAAAAGTGTTTTGATACAAGGTGATAAACTTGTAGGTTTATCCAGGCAAGGAATTTGTCTTAGTCTCCTTTGTATCCAGCATAACTTGACACAGTGGTTCATCCATAGTGGGTGGCCACTTGTTAAAATTACAGCTAAGTATTGTTAATGATTTTCAGATGCTCTGAAGCAAATGATTGGTGTCTGTTGTTTTTTTTCTGCCACGTTACTTACTAGGAAACCAAATGTCGGATGAAAGATTTGTGGAAGATTTTTCAGAGCAAATGGAAACTGCCATCCGAGCCATCCTCTGTGCAATCCAGAACTTAGCAGAAAGAAACAGTAAAAAAGCAGAGGAGAATACTGACCAAGCAAGACCACAAAAAGAGGATGGTATGTCTGAAATCAGGCAAAAATTAGTTTCATACCTCATTTAATTTTGTGTTTGATTTATTTCTGTGGCAAAATAGTTAAGGACAGATGTTAGAAATAGGTGACTGTTGGCCAGGCACAATGGCTCACTCCTGTAATCCCAGTACTTTGGGAGGGTTGCTTGAGGCCAGGAGTTCAAGACCAGCCTGAGCAAGAGCGAGACCCCATCTCTACAAAAAATAAAAAAATTAGCTGGGTGTGGTGGTGTGTGCTTGTAGTCCCAGCTACTTGGGAGGCTGAGGCAGAAGGATCGCTTGAGCCCAGGAGTTTGAGGTTGCAGTGAGCTGTAATGAGGCAGTAACACTCTAGCTTGTGCAATAGAGTGAGACCCTGTCTCAATTTAAAAAAAAGAGAAATAGGTGTCTGTGCGTGAATAGAGATGCAAGGATTTGTTTTCTGTTACTCATGATGGTGTTATTTTCTTTGAATGAAAGAGGTAGCAGGCTTTGCAAAACTACAATCAGGACATCTTACAAAACTCTTAGAGGATGACTTCTGGGCCGATGTGAGCACTTTGCATGTGCAGAAAATAATTTCTGCCATTTCTGAGCTGTTGGAGAGGCTGAAATCGTATGGTGAGGATGGCACAGCAGCAAAGCACACGGTAACTAACTGTTTCCCGCCCCCCCCCCAAACATCTAAAAGCTGAAAATCAAATGTTCTTTACAAGCTGCTTACTCTTCAGAGTGGACTGAGCACAGGCAGAGTGGGCTTCCCCTCACTCCACGTGAATGGGTCCCAACGCAGGCCTCAGTGCCAGATCACTAAGAGTTTGATCTATTACACATGTAAATGTCATTGAGAAGCTTTGAAAAGCTTCGTGTTTGCTAGCTGCAGGTTCCAGGTATAAGCTGTGTAGGTGCAAAAATGCTAACAATCCAGGATGTCTATTACTTTAGGATTCTTTCATGTTCTAGTCACACACTCCCAAGTATTTGATGTTAGTGATGGATGTTCCTGCTGTCAGCTGAGGCTGAAAGGCCATTCTCTGTTGACAGCATTCCCTCCACAATAAGCCAGCAGAGTAAGAAGTTGTAGTCTCTGTAGTAAGTTTCCAGAGAAGCAACTTACTTGATAGGACATTGTATATTGTTCTATAGCAAGCATCGCCTCCAGTGCCAACTTTGAATTGGCAGTAGGATTTATTCATAAACATTTTAATTTTAAAAACCGATTTGTTAGCTAAATGAGATTTCAGTAACTGAGAATTTAAAGTGCATGTGTGTGAGGGTTTGTGTCAATGAAGAAATCTCAGTGAGCCGGTATGGATTGGGGTTTGGTGGAGGTTGGTGGTAAAAACATGTCCAAGTTGCCATTGGTGACATTTAGTACATTCACAATATTGTACAACCATTGCCATCGTTAATTCCAGAACGTTATTATCACCCCAAAGGAAACCTGGTACCCACTAAACAGTGCGAGCAGGCTTTTTGTTTTGTTTCACCCTCAGTTCTTCAGCCAATCCTGCTGCTTGCTGGTGCGCCTGGTGCCCATGCTCTCCAGCTACTCAGATCTCATCCTCTTCTTCCTGACCATGTCTTTGGCAACTCACCGTAGCACTGCGAAGCTGCTCTCTGTGCTTGCCCAGGTCTTTACGGAGCTCGCCCAGAAGGTAAGGACTGTTCACATGGAGTACTATGGGGCAGCAGGAACCCAGATATTCCACATCCATTAGTCTTTGGTTTGATGGCCTTTTATTTTGGACTGTGCAAATAGCAGGAGATGATTTGTTCTCCCTGTGGATTCTTGAGGGCTTTGTCTGGCACCCTTTTGCTAACCCTGTTTCCACTAAAGTCTGCAAATCTGGAGACACCCCACTGATGAGTTCCCTATACTCCAGAGGCTGTCTCACAGTTGCTATTTTCTGTTACCACACTCTTCTTTCCCCACCCCCAATTTGGAATGTATAGATAACTCTTGAGCTAGATTTGTAGGATAAACTCTTAAGACTATTGATTTTTCTTAAACCATTTATATTTAATTATGATTAGATGACAGTGGGCCTCTTAGTATTAGAAGGAGGGTTTCTCTTTAACAGAAAAGTCATTTGGTCATTCAGCTGTGTACCCATTACCATGAAAAGCACTGAGGTTGTAGAGATTGTAGACCCTGCCCTTGAAATTCAGGGGCAGGAGTAAGTGAAATCCAACAGATCCAACATGCTATGGTGGGTCTAGTCATAGAGGTATTCAGTTCTTGGACTCTGAGTTCATCACTTAACCTCTCCGAGCCTCATTTTCCACTTTTGCATAATGAGGTCTGCCTGTACTCATGAGCATTTTTCTGAAAACCATCTTCCTTTGAGTCTATAGGTTTTGTTTCTTCCTTAATATTCTAAGATTTTTTCCAGATCTAAGTATAATACAGATGAGATTCACTTGAGGAGGATATGAATTTACAAATTGATGAGGTTTGGATTTCTTGTAAACACTCAAGAGTTCTCATTTCTGAGTGTCTGAAATACTGGAAAGTGTTAAAAAGTGGGAGGCAAGCCTGGTGCTTCATATCTAGAAGATAAATACTATTCTAGATATCAAGTAATAAACTGAGTAATAAGTAAATTAATGAGTCTCAGGTTCGTCCCTTCTGTCTGGTGGGCACCAAGCCAGTCTTAAATCTCATCACTTCTTGGAGAAAACACTGTATGCAGAAGACAGTGGCAGGACAGTGTATGGTAAGGGTGCCGTAAGATTTGGGTTTGCTAGATTTGTCCATTGTGCACTGTTGCCCTTGTCTGACAAGCACTAAAATGACTTTGGCCTGTCAGACCTTTGTGTGTTTTGCTGTGGGAATGGTTCTGATATGTGCAGAATGTTGGGATCCTAGAGGCTGTCACAGCTATAGCTACTGTAGTAATGGGCCCTGAGAAGGACATCTGAAACTCCCTTCAGTGTGGTCTCATTCTTCTGCCTACATCCGAACATATCTTGTTTAAAATGAGGTAACTCCGCCGGGCACGGTGGCTCACGCCTGTAATCCTAGCACTCTGGGAGGCCGAGGCAGGCGGATCGTTTGAGCTCAGGAGTTTGAGGTTGCTGTGAGCTGGGCTGATGCCACAGCACTCTAGCCCAGGCAACAGAGTGAGACTCTGTCTCAAAAAAATAATAATAATAATAAAAATAAAATGAGGTAACTCAATGAGAAAATTAAGGTAGTTAACCAAAATGTATTTTCCAATTAACTTTTTGAGAATACATGTCATAAAAGTGAGTTCGCCTTTCCTTTGATTGTTGCTAAGTGTCCAAATTGGATTCATACCCTGAGTAGTGCTAAAGGAACTTAGAAGTAGGTTACACAGTGCTAAGATAATAGGTCTAGGTTGTAACTAAAGCACGAGACCCAAAGGAAGCTGTTTCTGTGTAACCAAGTCACGATCAGTGTTTGATGGTCTTGGAATTTAATTCCTTAACTGGCAGCTTATATTTAGTACATTCTCATCCTCAGATTGACAAAAATCTTGACAGTATTATATTTTCTCTTATTAAAATTTCTGAGCCAGATGCAGTGGCATGCACCTGTAATCCCAGCTACTTAGGGATTGAATAAATTAAGATGGGAGGATCACTGCTTGAGCCCAGGAGTTCAAGACAAGCCTGGGCAACACAGCAAGATCCCATCTCAAAAAAATAAAATTTCTGATTGAGACCTCCTACTTTTCTTCTACTTCTTTTTCTATTTACTTTTGTCCCATGGGCTAGTAGTTTTTTGTTTGCAGGCTGTTTTCTGACATGAAATGCAATTTTGTTAAAGCGATTGTTACTATGTCTGCGTTCTCTCCAGAGCTCGTTCTGCCCTTGCTCAATGACTTGCTCCTAAATTCTGTCCCTCTGGTATACTTTAATTTTTTATCTTGGCAAAGTGACAGATTACCACATGCCAGCAGCCTCTACAAAGTCAAAACCATTCATATATTCAGTCTCATGTCAAGCTGTGCAACTGCATAATAACTCTTAACACCAAGGAGGAAAAGACTGTCAAAGGTCTACTGTACTTCCAACAGACTTAAGATACTGAGCTAGAAAAAGAATTAAGTGTTTATTTAAATTGCTTTTTTCCCCCCTGTGGCAGGACTGGAAATCCTTTTTTTAATTGCTTTCATGTGTAACAGTTCACCCTCCCTTTTTTTTTTTATTCAAGGGATTCTGCTTGCCCAAAGAATTCATGGAAGATTCAGCAGGAGAGGGAGCAACTGAGTTCCATGACTATGAGGGAGGTGGAATTGGAGAAGGCGAGGGCATGAGGGATGTGAGTGACCAGATAGAAAATGAAGAACAGGTACGTTTTCACATGTGTCAGATAGGTACACAGTTTACAGAAGCTGACTCCCTTTCTTTTCAGTATGATGGATTTTATTAGGTTAATGTGATCTACAGAGCCTGGATATATTGCAGCTTGGGCAGTGGGTGCCAATAAAAACCACAGGAAGGCAACTTGCACCTCAGTCATTGGTTATGAGTATAATTTTAGCGGGAGTGATTTTTACAGTTTTTTAAAAATGGGGAGATACTTGATGATTTTCTACAGAGTATTTTTTGTTAGCATTTAATTGATGATTGCATTAAATAGT